TGCAGCCTTTTTGGATGTAAAAAGAACTGGCTTACTTTGTTTAGAAAGCTGCAGGCTGCCTTGCTGTGGCGAAAGATAGCATCGGACTTCTTGGAAAAATGTTTCTGCCAGGCGTCCGTAAAGTACATCAGCGAAATGCCAAGTGTTGGTGATGGGTTTTACAGGAGTCGTTCCAGACATTGAGTGATGGGCTTTGGAAACAGAGGCACCACTGTATCTGTGGAAGGATCTGGGAGAAACGTGGTCTGGTACTTTCTGAACAGAGACGCTGTAAAGATAGAGAAGTGTGTCTGTTAGATAAAACAGAAATACTGGCCTGAACAGTGATGTGCTGGAGGGCCAGCCTTGCAGGTCTTGTGCTTAGAGGTGATGCTGGGATAGTCGAGGAAATACCTGCATAAAGGGTGGTGAGCACCCTTCAGAAGAGAACAGTGTTAACGCTCAAATTCTTGTTCAAGGGCAAAAAGGGAGCACACCTTACACAGAGAGACCCAAGAGTTTATTCTCAATATAACCGAACCCTTAACATTCTAGTCTTATTAGTGAAGGTCTAATTATTACCGAAAGAAGGAAGGCCTGTTGGTTACCACTGACACTTTTGTCCTCTTGTCAGGTCCACATTTCTTTTACTGGTCGTTCACAGCATGGGGCCGCCAGTGCCAGCCTGTGCTCCATCTCTTGTTGTCCCACTCCTGTTCTCCTTCATGTCACGTCCTGTGCCTCCACTTCTAAAGGCCTCTTATCATATAAGGCCTGTATTTTTTTATACTACCTCATTATGTTACGGTTGTAAACCCATGACGGTAGCAGAAAAAAGATAAGCAGGAAAAAAAAAAAAAAAAAAAAGCCATAGTTACCCGATCAGTTAGAAGAATTGCTGTTACAAGTAAACCAGGTGGATCAAGGCTGCAGGTATGTCAGGAAGATCCTGGACAGAGCGAGCATCACAAGCTGCATTGCCAAGACCTTACAAACTCAGTACGAAGCCTGTGGCACGTTGCTTGCCACGGCAGTGCTGTGTTACAGGGCTACAGGGAAACAACAGGAGCAGACGGTTCTGTCCCTGGAAGGAGATGGTTTTCCAGCAGCTCGTGACCTGAACTAGCTACATGAAGAGCTTACTCCAAAGCTGGCCAAAATCATCAGAGTGAGGGTCAGGAGAGCAAACCCAAAGGCAGCTCTGTGATGGGGTGGTCATGATGAACATGAAGGGGGGGATTGATGTGCAGCCCAGCCTGTCCCTGCTCGTGTTTTGAGCTGGCCTTCTGCAGAGCTCTTGTGCATGGTATTTAAAGCCTGTCAGTGTGTTACCTCCACTGTGAGCAGGCATGCGCTGGGGTGAGATGTTGCTTCTCTCTGGTTTTGGAGGTGCAGGGTTGGGACGGGCAAATTCACGTGAAAACCACGTTCAGCAGCTATCTCCCCTCACACCTGCAGTACAGTGAATGGGTTGGACCTGTCCGCGTTTGCAGTTGAAAGAACATTTTCTGAAAGCAAGTCCAGAATCTCCCTTGTGTGTCATCATTTTTCCCCTTCCCTGCCTATGTTCATTAATGTGCCTACCATTTCCCTGGCTTGCTTTGTTTTAAAAGCACGTGCTATATATATATAGTTCTTCCTCTAGCGCAAATGGCCTCACCTCCTGGGTCCAACTTCCCTGTTTCTCAGCTCCACGCTGATACTTTACCCACTGGAGTGGCTTTCTGCTGCCTCTCTTCTTTGCTCTCAGCTCTTACGATCTGCTTTTGCAGAGGATCTGCAGACCGTTGCGCCATGAATTGACTTTGGAGTTTCTCAGCTGTGTGTTCGGAGGGGCTGGGCGCTTCCTCTCCTTGTGGCACATTCCAGGCTCCTCCAGTGGCTCTGCTGGGATCCTCCCGAGACCCCCTGTGTGCCCCACAGCTTCCTCCCTCTCGGGGGTGGTCCTGCCTGCCTCTGCTCTGCACTCTCTTCTTGGGTGGCTGCACTGAGATTATTTGGGGTGCAGGCAGGTGGGAATGCTGTGAGCATCGCTTCGGATTTTGCCTTTCTCCCTCTTGTTGTGGTTTGCAGAAGCAGTGCACGTCTGCTCGGAGCCTCTGGCCACCCTCTGCCCTTCGCTGTCAATGTGGGGCAGTGCTGGGCTTGGGGCCGGAGTTGCTCTTGGCTCTTCTAACCTGGGTGATGAAGGGACCGCAATGCCAAGCTTGGCAGCAGTAGCGGGGGGAGAGGGTGATGGCCGCGGTGTCCCCCTGCTCAGTTCAGTTAGGTCTGTCCCACCCAGTCCTGGGGGGCAGCAACCCTGCAGGGTGCTCTTTCCACCCTGAGGCATGTCTAGGTTAGTACTGGAAGTGTGTGACCTGCTGGCATGTACTAGTTGCCAATCCCTTAGCTAGCAAAACGTGCGTGAAGGAGCGAGGGAGTTGAAGGATTCCTGACACAGCATTTCTGCTGGCTCCCTTTCTTGAACTGGAGGGGAAGCTTGAGTTGCTGCTACAGGAGCCAGAGGGCACACCCGATGCTCAGGGATTTGTGGATTTCTTTGTTGGAGTTCATGGTTTCACCTTCTCTTTGTCTTTTTGTCTGTTCTCCCATGTGCTGCACAGCCTTCCTATCTTGGCCTGTCAGAGCACAGAGGGGAAGACAAAGCAAATAGGTCCAGGGATGCAGACTTGGTCCTTGCTGTCTATCAGCTGGCTCACACAGGCTCATTAAGCAAATGTTAATTTGGGTTAATCATAAAAAAAACCAATGAGAGCTTCTGCCATCACAGTCACCAAGTCCTGAATAAGCAAGGAGATCAAGGAGTTGCTCAGAAAGGATGCCCTAGCCAGCGCTCGCCTGGTATTTCTGTTCAGGAGAAGGAGGCAGCAGCTCTGAAAGCACTTGGGTGTTTTCCACCGCAGATAAGTGGGTTTTGTTTTGGTTTCTCACGGCTGCCTGTCTAGGGCTTGTTTCACTTCTTGTGCTCTGCAGTTGAGCAGCTTAGTTTTGTTTTGGCGCTTTATTGTTTACACACATTGAGATTTTTCTCTCCGCATTGAATGAATTCTGGACCAGAGAATGTGACCTTTTAGGACAAGGGACAAAAAGAAACGTTGGGTACACATGTTGAGATTTTTCTCTCCGCACTGGATGAATTCTGGACCAGAGAATGTGACCTTTTAGGACAAGGGACAAAAAGAAACGTTGGGTGCGGTGTCTCTGTGGTGGCAGCTCTTGCCAGCTCCTGCGAGAGAGCAGGCGCTGAGCATGTCTGGCCACCTCTCCGGGTTCCTGTGTTTCAGGAGTGGCCTATTTACTTGACGGGACAGGAATAGTCTTAAATAACACAAAGTCATGTGGCTGGGACTCAAGGCTCATTTTCCTTGTGTTCCAAACAATGGCAGGGAAGCGGTATCCCTGCAGCCGTGGCTGTATCTGTCTTCAAACTTTCTCTACGGCTCAGTCGCTTCACTGCCCTCAAAGTGCAGATGGAGTTTTCTCCTAAAGAAGTAAGGTGCCAAGTTATTCTCAGCCCATGGTTTTGTTATGACATTTCCAAAATGGAGCACTTGGGCTTTGCCTATTTCCAACTTGCTTTGGTTTAAAAAAAATCTGGTCCATCAAAAATTGGTGTAAACAATATTTCATGTTATTTGCAGCTTAGCCACCAGCTGAAAACTGTGTGTGTTTGTTTTTTCACAGCTATGGCCAGTTCTGGGAGTTAAGACTACATGGGTAGATTCATGCTGTACCGCATATTACGGAATGCAGACCCCCAAAATTCATTGGCTTGTTCACAGCTTTTGGAGTCCCTGGTGGCATAGCTTACAGATCCCTAGGGGCTCAGAGGTGACAGGTTGAAGGCGAGGAGGACAGGGAGTAGAAGATACCTCTCTCCTCTGGGCCTCAGTACTCAGCAGGTTCCCGAACCCAGAGGACAATTTTCATTCCTGGTGGACTCTGCGAGTCTTCTGCTCTGAGCTGGTGGCTGGCACTGGTAAGAGTCGCTCCGCTGCCCTCCTTCCTCAGTGTGAGCCGCTCACCCGGCAGTTTTCTGTCGTCTTCTCAAAGCCCTTCCACTGCAGGCACACAGAGCTGTTCAGTTCATGACAGCATCTTGCTCCCAGGCATGCCTGCAAGCCTGTTATCTCCTGTGCAGGTGTCAGAATAAGTGTACGTGCAGGTCCTAGCCCAGAAACGGCTTATTAATTCCTTAGAGAAACGTTTCTGCTATTAAATCAACATGTTGTGGCAGCGAGCCCTGTGAAAAGAGCCTTTCTGCCTGTTCTTGGTGTTCGTGAGTTTCTCTGTGCAAGAGTGGTTGTGGTTTTACTCGGAGCAGTATCTCTGCTCTGTGAGGCCGTTGCGCTCTGTGGCACGGCAGGGTGAGGCGATAACGGGGGACTCCGGGCTGCAGGTGATCCAGCTTTGATAAGAGTCTCGTAAAATCTGCCACTCGCACAAGTGTCTTGGGACTTCTCCTTTTCCTTCTTATGCATGCAAATGCATTGCTGAGCCTTGCAATTTAACTAGAAGCTACTAGTTGTGAGGCGCTTCCAGCATCTCCCCAACAGAAACGGTGCTGGGAGTCTTGGGACAATGCTTCCATTTCATCTTGTGTTTATCCCACTACTGTTTGCAGGAGCTTCTGACGGGGCCCCGTAGGTAACAAGTCACCAGGGATGGCTAAAACGGACACTGCCTTCTGGAGGCAGCAGGCTTGCTGCTTGCTCTGTCCTCACCGGGGCCCGGCAGCTCTGGGCAGCGCCCGTGGTTCTTGCTCGCTCGTTCTTCTGCAGCATGCGTGGCTCTCTGCCCCCCTTTTCTTCTCTCCCCCATGGCAGGAGCAGTCTGGCCCTCACCACAGCCCAGGCCACCCTCCTTTAGGATGCACGAGCTGGCGTGCCCTGTACGGCTGAGATGACAGGGTCCAGAGGGGATTGCGAGGCCTTGCTGGGTTCAAGTTCATCCTTCTTTTGCTCCCCCGTGTAAAACAGGCTGTGCGGTCACACGACAATGTTGCTTCTGTGCCACAGGGAACTTCTGGATCTGACTTGCCGTCTTGCCAACACCCTGAAGAAATATGGGATACAGAAAGGGGACAAAGTGGCCATCTATATGTCCGTGTCTCCCCTGTCTGTGGCGGCCATGCTGGCTTGCGCCAGGATTGGCGCCGTTCACACCGTGGTCTTCGCTGGATTCAGCGCAGAGTCCTTGGCTGGGAGGATCACGGACTGTAAGTAGATGCAAGACTGGGGAACAGACTCCTCTGGACAGTGCTCCAAGACATGCCCCAGTTCTGTGTTTTCTTGGCAGAAAGAGAAAAGGTCCGTTCTCAGCAGGTGGGACAGTTCACTCTCCTTTGGAAAGTAATGTGAAGAGACTTTTCTATAGTGGTAGATGCAGTATCGTCTGGCCTTAAAATACTTCATAAATTACGTAATATTCGGTCTGCGCTGGGTTGCTGCCAAGCAGCAGTGAAGCTGGAGGGAAAACCAGAACTGAGGAATGGGGCCTGATTTGTTCTTTCGCAGTATAATTGCACTGTTCCTTTGATATTCCTGCACAGTGCTAATTCCGCGGTCTTGATTGTGATACTGTGATTTATGTACAGCACAGTGATTTATGTAAACCACTGGAAGTGTTGGCAGCCTGCCCCCACTCCGTTTGCCGTTGCACCAACAGGCAGAGCTGTTCCTAGCGCTTGTAGTGTGATTAGGTAAAAAGTAATGCTGAAACTACCAGCACGACAGCAAAATAGCAAGTGGCCTGTGTCCTTGCAGTCACGTCAGTTTCTTTGACTAGTATGAGGGAAGAAGTCTTACAGCATTTTTCATGCTTTTTTTTCCTCCTGTTTTAGTGGAGGTAATCTACAGAGAGCAAGTACATGTTTTAGTTATCCCTCACATTTGGCCATTTGTGTGGAGGTGATGGGCTAAAGAGCCATTTCTCTGCGGCCACGGCTCTGTGATAATGTAGTGTGGTACAAATTGACGTGCTCTGCCAGAGTGCTGCTGTGTGCTGTGGATTCCATGAGGTTGCCCCTCGAGGTATGGGTGAGTTTCAGAAGGCTGCGTGCATCTTCAGAGCAGGGTAATGCCTCCAGAGGGGATGAGAGAGGGGCAGAGGTGCTTGTTCACTAAGGTTTCAGTGCATGAGCTGTTAGGCTAAAGCAGCAGCATTCACTGGAACACGGGTAAGTGGGAAGAAGTGGTTCTGCAGATTGGCTTTGCTAGGCAGGAATGGGGGCGTTTAAATTGCAGTGAGTGATACTTAGGCTAGATACTGAGCAGGACTTTCCCATGTTCCTGACAGGCATTGGAGTGGGCTGGTGGAGAGAGGGTGGAATAGCTGCCGGTGGAGTGTTTTAGGAAGATTGGACTGACAGCTGTCAGAAGTGCTTTAGCTGGCGTGGGAGAGGTGGACTAGATAACCTATGGAGGTTCCAGCTACCCCTAAGCTCAGTGGGTCTCAGGTTTTAAAGTGTTGTTGTCAGTGACATTGACTGGTTTTGACTGATAGAAGTTCTGTGTATTTGTCACACATGTTGTCCCACAGGTCATCCCCAGAAGTAATGAAAGTAGCGTGCATATACGAGCCTGGAAGACAGGTTGGTATGTCTGCTGATTCTTTCTCTTTTTAGCTGGCTGCAAGGCTGTTATCACCTACAACCAGGGAGTCAGGGGAGGCCGAATCATAGAGCTGAAGGCGACGGTGGATGAAGCTGTAAAGAACTGTCCAAGCATCAAACACGTCTTTGTGGCTCAGAGGACAGATAACAAGGTCCAGATGGGAGACCGTGATATTCCGCTTGAGGAGGTATGTTGGTGTTGGTAAACCTTGACTCTTTCCCCTGATGTTTCTTGTAGGATGTGATGTTTACTGTGCTGGGGGAGAGAAATACGGTGCGCTAATAAATGTAGGGAGCAGCTAACACGGATGTCGCCAAGAGACCCGGTGCAGGGCTGTTCAGAACACGTGCCTGAGGGTCCTGCTGAATGGGTAGGTGAGGCACGCTCTGGTATTTGGCTTTGGCCTTTGAGCTGCTGCAGGCTACGCTGGGCATCAGCAGCCAGGGAGGACCAGGCAGTCTTCATCCTCAAATGGATTGTCTGTGTTTACAGACTGCTAGGGTTGGGAGTCGAAGCAGCTCAATATATGTCTGATTCATCTCAGCACGGGCGGGGGGAATGTGCTCCCTTTTAGCAGTCTTGCAAACAGAGCAGAACTTTAAGGAATGAGTGTACCCTGAGACCCTGGGTGCCCGGATGCCATTGCTGCTGCTGTTATACTCTGTTCAGGGACTCTGTTATGGTTTGTCATATGCACTCCCAGACTGGGCGTTGCTGAAAGGCAGTGCAGAAATAATCAAGTTCCTGGGGAGGCTTAATATGGACAGTATTGTGGTTACCCCATGATGGGAGGACAGTGATGGTTTGGGAATGTTTAGAACCTGTGCTTCCTGGGGAAGAAAACAGCAGTTGCTTTAACGTGTTTAGCTGGCACACGTGGGACTGTAGCCTAATGCAGAAGTGGTTTTATCAGTTTGCCGGCAGAGTAAACAGAAACTACTCATCGTAATAATCCTGGAAATCACCCAACTGCAGCCAAGATAATTATTCAGGATTCCCTGCGCTAGTCACATGAGATAGGAGCAACTACTAGTGTAAGTTAAACAGAGAAGGCAGGTTTTATTTGGAAATTGTCTTACTCCTCCTTACTCCACAAAGCACACTGTGGTGATTTTCCTTAGCCTGCACACAGCCCGAGGTGCTTTGGTGGTCCGAGAGCTGAGCTCAGCCCGTTGTCAGTTGTAGGGTCTGAAACATAACAAGAATGAAACCATTAATGCTGTTAACTCTGGCATTACTGATCTTTTCAGCAGTTGAGCTTTCCAGCTCTTGTGCAATGGCTTATTGCAAAATTCAAGATCATGTTACGACGGAGCATATTAGAACTTCATCTTAGATTCAAAAACTGGCAAGTCAGCCTGAATTGGCAGTGCTGAAATGTCACAATAAGTACCTGAGGTGAGCAGGAGTGCTGTAACTCAGAGGCTAAGAATTCCATCTGACTCTATCACCTCTTTGTATTTTATTAGGATTTGTTTGTCAGACACTTTTAATCAACTGGACCTGCTGTTGGTAGTGTTCGCTTGTTAATACAGTGTGTTTACAGTGTATACTTGTAAAAAGGCAGTGCCTAAAAATTCCTTCAAAGAACCACCTAATAACTCTTGCAGGAATCATTGTTCATCTAGGATAGCGCAGGTCTGGAGAGAAGCAAGCCAGCTGGGCTTTTTGTACAGCCATGTGTTGAGCCCCTGGAACAGACAGTGGTTATGGCAGGTTTGTACACGGATAAGAAAAATGTTCAGCCTTGTCCTGGAGAATCGACAGCCTGGGCAGACAAGCCCTCTGCTGCTACAGGGTTCAGTGACCGCAAGCATCTCTTTCAAAGAACATTATTTCCCCTTCCTCTGTTGGACTGGGCACACAAGCCAGACCAAAAGTTTGCTCTGACCTAGTAGGACACTGCATCCTTCCTTCCCGTGGTTCTGACTGTGGGAGAGAGGAGATGTCACCCACCTGGCCACTCAGTGGAGTATAAGGAGAGTGACACAGGCAGGAGAGTTAAGCACTCCCCTTCTCATGGGGAGAAGCAATTAGAATTTGAGGATCGAATGGACAGGGCAGTCAGCCGCTGCCGGGGCTGGGAAGGGAGGCGACTGCACAGTTTGACTGTAGCACTGCAGTTCTGGAAGAAAACGGAAGGTCCTAAATAGCATCCAGTCAGCCTTGCTGCTGCTATCAAATGTGGCTCCAGCTTGTGGCCACCGTTCAGTTTTCTACCAGCAGCTTGCCAAGGCTTGAAATGTAAGCTATAACCCACCGTTTTTTTCTTGAAGTGTTATTTTACCTGGCCGATTCCCCTTGACTTCTGTGCCTAGCCGAGGTTTTGGTGGAAAGGCTGGGTGCCAGGCATCCCCAGGAACCTTTCCACTAGATGAGCACGTGTAACCCATGACACATCCACGGGCCTTTGCGTGGGGGCAACAGCAACGGTGCTTCTTGTCTCTGGACACTGCTGGTGTGCTCACAGACGGAGCGTTGGTTGGCTCCATCTAGCCAAAGTCTTTCTGTCATTACCACCTTTTTTTCCTTAGGAGATGGCCAAGGCAGCTTCTGTATGCCCCCCAGAGAGCATGGACAGCGAAGACATGCTTTTCATGCTGTACACCTCAGGCAGCACTGGGAAACCCAAAGGAATTGTTCACAGCCAGGCTGGATACCTGCTGTACGCTGCTCTCACGCACAAGGTAACTCGGCTGCGTCCTCTGGAAAAGGTTCATGTACCTGCCAGCAGGGCTAAGGAGAGGGGCTTGGACCAGTCTGGGTTCCCTGCCCGGTTGTTTTTTGGGTGTAAACAAACCGATAAGCATCTGAGAACGCGTAATTAATCTTCAGGATTTGTTCCTGGGGCATAGAATACTACGCAAACCAGAGCCTAGAGTTACGAAAGGAAGAAAACTGCTGTGCTGCTACTTTTGCATTTAAAATGTGCTAGTGTTGCAGGCCAGAAGTTGTGGACGTTAAGATGATGCAGCTGAGTTGATTGTGGTTATTATCTTACTGGCGTCGGTGACGTAGATATTACTGTAGTATTTTGCAGTGGGATGCTGGCCTTTTTTCAGAGAGGGTCTGGACTCTTAAAACAACCTCTTTGCATAGCACTTGTCTGAAGATCAAGAATTACATTCATGCTCTGTGGTTGCACCTTTGCACTGCTTTTTATGTGATCTAGGCTAAATGTTTTAACCCCATTTCTCATGAAAAAAAAAAACAAACAAACCCAAATCAAGACACTGCTGCTTGAAGCTTCTGGTCTGAATTCTGCATATGAAAAGGTAACAGTGAAATGTGGAGAGGACTGTGGTGAAAGGTCTCCATCTGGCTTTAGTGGCATCACCCTGTTTGTAATCACACACAATTCAGGCGGAGGTTTTATTTCTTTAGGCTGATATGGTTGAATTTTTGGAAGATTTGGATGTGCAGTTGTCAGACTTCGCTGCATGAAGGGTATCAGTTACGTCAGCTTTTCTGAGACAGCATAATCTCCTAGGCATCCCTTTCTTAGTCCAGAAGGTAGATCCTGCACCCTGGTGCAGGCATGCAGGGAGGCACTGGGTGCAGCTGCCGTCCCTTTAGAAGTACGTCAGAGCCTGGGACAGAAAGGCACTTGCAAAAGGGAGGCGAGAATTGGCTCTCCTAGGTAGAGGGATGGGCTGACCTGTGTGGCCTCTGTGGTCTTTGCACATTCATGTGTGACACTCTTGTCACACGCTCAGGGGGTTTTCTTTCGCTTCTGATCCAGCTTCTTTCATCTAAAACATAAAGCTGACTCTGCCCTACGAGCCAGGGCCTCTTCACCACATGGCAGAGTTGTTCGATTTACAGTGGGAAGCATTTTCCATGACCAAGACAAGCTAATGAGTTCTCCAAGCTTTTTATTTTGAATTTGATGAGGGTAGCATCTGGAAAGCGATACACCGGTAGAGAAGCTAAGAACATTTCTCAGAAAATGTTTCGTGAGCACCTATCAGTTTCTCCAGCTTTCTTCTGGAAACCTGTTGATACTGGTGAGGGGTCTGAGCCTCGGGGGCCCGCAGCTTCCCTGCAGCTCAGGGTCAGCTCTGCCACGTGGGCGGCCAGGAGTAGGCAGCCTGAGGTACCCAGGGCTCTGGGCTTTGGCTGTAGCTTTGTCGCTCCAATCTGAGCAGCTCCTGGGTGTTTGCAAAAGCAGTTGGAAGCCCAGAAGCCCTGCTGCTGGTCCCTCCGACTTGCCTCCTCGCCTTGGGCTGGCCTTTGTGCTGCCGTGTCCGGCGTGCCTGGCTCCACTTGCCCCGTGTGCTCTCTTGCTCCCACGTGGATGGCCAGTCCAGACCTTGCCTGCCTTTAAGCACCTGCCAGCAGAAATTCAGCTGACCTTACGTTTATCTTTGCAGTATGTATTTGACTACCAGCAAGGCGACGTTTTTGGCTGTGTGGCTGACATTGGCTGGATCACGGGACATAGCTATGTTGTGTACGGACCACTCTGCAACGGAGCCACCTCTGTCCTCTTCGAAAGCACTCCAGTGTACCCTGACCCAGGTGAGGAGGGGGTGGGTGAAGGTTTGGCTAGATGTGGCAGTGTGACAAAGCTTTGAGATTTAGAAACCTGTCCAGTATGACCTGCCTGCTCAGGGGTGGTAAGCTCCATTTCTTTGGAAGACGCGTCTGTGATATTCAGGAACATCAGTGCCTCCAGGGTGATAAAAAAAGTCGCCACTGGCTTTGCTCTGTACTCACAGTAGTCACAGCTTTAGCCTTGGCTATTAGCCTTCCTGCTGAGCATTTGCAGCGGTGTGTCAGTGCTAGACAGATAAAAAGCCTGTTTGTGATTTTGCAGGTCGTTACTGGGAAGTGGTACAAAGGTTGAAAATTAATCAGTTTTATGGAGCACCTACGGCTATACGCTTGCTGCTGAATTATGGAGAAGAGTGGGTGAAGAAATATGACAGATCTTCCTTGAAGACCTTGGGATCAGGTACGGGGCATGAAGTCTTCATTGGAAAAAGACAGGGATTTCTAGCTGGTGAAATGAAGGTACCAGAGGGGCTTGGCTGACCAGATGGGATGTGGTTAAAAATAGATAATAAAGCAGGGTCCCTGTCTGGCTTTTCAGATATTTGCTTAGCAGAAGGAGAAATAAACTGAAGTGCTGAAGTTGGGGCCACTGAACCTTAGTGTGATTGCCTGTTTCCCAGCTTATTTTGCAGGATCCCATTCTTTGCTAACAAGAGTTATCCAAGGGTAAATGACATCACTTTGAATTTTACCGGCATAGGTGACCCAAGCAGTGGTTTCCTGCATTATTTAGAATTCTAGAGGTTCATATGCGTGACCTGCATTGATCAGTTGTTTTCAGTGATACTTCCTGCTTGCCTTTGGGTCCTTCTGGAAAGAAGTCAGCCCTCAGTTACATGAGTGCATGGCAGTCCTTTGCACATCCCAGCAAAAACGCTGTAAACGTTCTGCTCGAAGATCACGCATCCAGTGTCTTGTGCACCAAAAGGGAGGATGAGCTGCCTGCGACCCCTCGAGTCTCAGGCTGCCTCCTTTCTTATTTTTGCTCTAGTGGGAGAGCCCATCAACAACGAAGCGTGGCAGTGGTTCTACCAGGTGGTGGGAGAAGGGCGCTGCACGCTTGTGGACACGTGGTGGCAGACAGGTAAACGGCGTCCCCGGGGAGCGCGGAGGAGGGGGCCCTGGCCGTGTGCAGGTTGCTGGTGGGTAGAGAAAGATTAATACATGTCAATCTGATCCGATGAGCCTGTCAAAAAAACCCTCCTGGCATTTTGATCAGTGTTTGAAAGTCACTGGGGAGTTTCAGCACATAATGGCAGTGTAACAGCATATGAAAGCAATAGCAGTGGTGGTTTTTTTTTTTTTTTTTTTTTCGTCTTTTCCCCTCCAAATGTTCTTTGATATTTTGAATGCTAGAAAATCTCAATTGGTTCTAGAAACAGGAGGAAGAGATTGAATTTCTGGGCAAAGCTGGGAGTAGGCAGCTTGAATTGGAAACCTCATTTTCACTTATTTATCCAACTGTACTGACCTTGATACGGCCTTATCGTGAAAAGGCGTTTATAACACCCTGTAGCCACAATCTGCACTTAGGTGTGCTTTGTTTCCCTTCCTGGTAACGGTCAGAGGAGGATGGAAAACTAAGCTGTCTAGCCAAAGGGACCTAGAGCAACTGCTGTGGTGGATTGGAAAGGAGCGAGTGGAGCTTGCTGGCTGTGTGTGAGGTGGGGGGGGGACAGGGGGCTCCTGCAGCTCCTTCCTCAGCACCCGGCCCTCTCTTCTGAGCACCAACGTTCAGGACTGGCTAAAGGGAGCTTGCAACGTGCCCTTCTCGAGTCGTGAACCACAGTTTGCCACGGAGCCATGGACTCAGGGGACGCAGCTGCTGGCATTCTGCCTCTGCTGAATGAAAGCCATCCCTACTCTTGAATTTCTAGCGGACATTGGGCAGAATATTTATTCCCTTTTCAGTCAGGCTGCTCCTCATTTCATCCTCGCTCCTGCTAGCAGGCTGTACCTTCAGGATCCCTGTGGTCCATCTCAGTGTGATGAATTAGCTTCTGGCAGACAACCAAGTTCCACCTAATCCAGGCCAGGCTTGCAGACTCTTTTTATTTTCAGATTTGAAATAAAACCACCTCAGAATTCAGAGCAGCAATGTTAACTACCATCTACTTCAACTACTGATCTCTTAAACCATCTGGGCCCTCACATGCTGAACAGAAGGAAAGCTGACTGGCTAGGTGCTATGTGCTTTCCTCCTTACTGCTCTGAAATAAAACACCATGGAGAAGCAGTTGGTTACTGTACAGTGATGGAGTTGAAAAGAATCTTTCTTTGCCCTAATGATTTTTTTGTTCGTTTGTCTTCCATTAACTGGTGCATGCAGCGTGCAATGCAGTGTCTTCTATTTTCTCTGAAGTACAGGGTTGGATCTTATATTAAACTGTAATTCTCCTGGGTTTATGGAGCAACAACTGTCAGACTGGACGGTCTATTAGTGCAGACTGCTTGATCTTACCTTGAGCCAGGCATAGTTTTGCAGGTAAACAGCTACCAGCTCTTGGAAGCATAATGTAATGATAAATATTAATGAAATTCATTTTGTTAGAAAGCAGAACCAATTTTTCTTCACCACTGATACATCCAGTAAAGAGGAAGTCAAATTAATCTTGGAAACATTATATACACCATTTGAATGTAAAGGGAGCATGGAAAGAGGTCACAAAACCAGTCTGATGGATGTTGGTTGTGGTCCTGCAGTGTCCCTTCTCATACATAATTTCAGTATAGCTTCTTAATCGTGCTGCTGTATGCAGTGCTCTCTGTGCTACGTTGCTCTCTGAGGCAGCGCCGTGTTGGCAGCTAATAAAGCCAGTTGGTGTAAAGATCAGCAAATGGTGATTTAAGAATCCACTCTGGAGTCTTTGGGTGAGCAAATGAGTGAGATGGCAGTTGTGAGGAGCAATTCAAGTTGTGTGATAGGTGCAGGTGGGGGAGATGACAAAGTCCCGTGACTCTTCCTGTTAAGATATTATGTAGTGCTGAGCTTTGGTCGACAGTAATAAAATCAAAGCTGTGTTTGCGTTTCAGGTGTAGCTCTTCACAGTGCAGAATAGACACCAGGTATTTTTACTTTTGCCATTGGTTTTATAAAAAAGGTACAGCTGTTGTACACAGCTGTGAACACAGGCTGGTTTTGAAAGAAATCTCTGAACAAGCCCTGGAAGCCTTTGGATTTTGCATCATCTTACAGCAGCTTAGACTGGGCTGGTGCTTCTGAGTCGGATTCCCCCTGGAGTGGCCAGTCCAGTCTGCCTGTGGTGGTGAAGACAGTGGTGGCAGAGGTGATTTACCCTAGGCAGAGGGGACCACGTTTTGATGCGTCACCCTCCCTGCTCAGACTCCGCTGTCCTTGCCTAAATTCTGGGTGGATTTGCACTACGGTGACCGCACGGGCACAGGTGACGTGGAAGCATGTCTTTTCTTCTGCCAGCTCTGCCTCTCGAAGGTCAGACTTCCTAAGGGCAGGGCAGAGCCTTTGCTAGCTGTCCTCTGTCAGTGAGCAAAATCGGCACTTTTAAAGCAGTTTAAAATAGGTCTTTCCAGTGCAAATAATTTTGAAAGCACCCATGCCACCGTGCAGCTCCCTCTGGAACGTGACTTTACTGCTGCTGGCTGCAGGATGTGTAGGATGTGGCAAAACCTGTGTTGGAACAGAGCGTGCAGTGCTGTATTCAGAACGAGTACTGGCTTTGGAAGAGCAACCATCACTTTAATCAGGTTCCCTGCTCTGACACAGATTTTGTCTGTGCAAATGGAGAACAGCAGGTATCCGGGGTGCTTTTGCCTTTTTCTGAAGAGATTCAAGATGACCCTTTCAAAGTAAACAGAAACATGTGAAGTGGATGCTTGCCCATCAATGGAACGTGAAGCAATTTTATGTGTAGGCCACATGTGAAAGTATTTTCTGCAGATCTGAAGCTTGGGGTTCCTCGAAGAGACCCTTCCTCATAGCTATGTCAGGGCAGCTGGACGCAAATGCAGGGTCAAGTTCAGCCTTTCCAACCTCTAGTTTCAGTTTTCACCACCTCAGCAAAGCTGGTAGAGGTGCGCACTTCCCAAGTGGCAGAACATACCTTTATTTATAGACCATTATTTTTAAAAGCCTAATTTTCCTTTGTTTTTGTTTCTCTCTTCTGTTCCTGAATTAATTTTAGAACAGAAAAGATCTGATTAAAGTTGGAGTCTGGTTTAGTGTTCATCCCAGCAGGAATGAGAAAGGCTGATGAAAAGGTTCAATTTTGAATAGAAGATAAGCTCCACCTGCCTGCAAGGGGTGTGTTAATCTCATACTTGGTAATAATAGTAATTCAGGCCCCTGAAGTGCTTTTCATGCTAACCTTTGACAGCTGTGAAAAGAGCACCGGGAGATAAATCCCCTGACGTGCTTCTACTTTCCCTGGAAAACCACTTCTGGGGTAGGAGGTGGGGTGGTGAGGACTTGCCCCCGCCGGCCCACGCAGCCCTGTCAGCGTGGGGAGGACCTGCAGGGCTGCCAGGACGGGCCGCTGGCTGGCTGCTGGGGGAGCGGGTCCGTCCCCTGGGGGAGCTGACGTGGAGGGAACGGGGCACGTGGGCCGAGCCGCGGCCGGGACTGCGGGGAGGCTGCCGGAGCGCGCCCGGGGGGGCCGCTGCTGCAGCGCCGTGTGCCCGTCCCCCCCCCCGAGGAGCTGAGCCAGACGCCCGGGGTGCTGATGCGCTGGGGCACGGTGAAGCTACTGGTCCCCTGGGGCGGCTGCTCGGCCGCCCTCGGTCACTTGTCACTGGCGTACGCGGCGCGCGGGGATTTTTGCAGCCAGGCCTGAACGGGGCGCGGTGCAGGGAGCAGGTGGGAGCAGCTCTCGACCCGAGCTCACCGGGGGGGGACCCGCCTGCAGCTCCCCGCTCTCCACCTCCCGCAGTGTCCCCCATAGACAGACCAGGCCTTGGTGGCACTGTCCTGGCTCGCCAGGCACTCCTCTCTGTTGAAGCTTCTCTTGTATTCACAAAGGGCTCTTGGTTTATCAGGTCTGTTTTCAGATGGCTGCGGCACTTGGTGTTGCGTAATCCCTTCCCAGTGGCTTCTTCTTGCAAGTTGGCTTCCCTATTCTGCTCTTTAACTACGAAGAGCTGGCATTTGCTTTCATCCAGCATTGGATGGGCCACACGTATTTTTTTATTTTTTTCCTTATTGTTCCAGAAACTGGTGGCATCTGCATTGCCCCGCGGCCTTCAGAGGAGAAAGCTGAGATCGTTCCGGCTATGGCTATGAGACCTTTCTTTGGGATTGTGCCCGTGCTGATGGATGAGAACGTGAGTCGAGGCTGTGCTGGGTGCCCAAAAGAGAACCTGGTGTGTGTTTCCACCTTAATCACCTTTCTGATGGCAGACGAACAGGATCCAGAAGGATGTTTGTTCCTCCATTAGAATGGTAGAAGAGATGAGCAATCTGTGTGTGGAGTGTATCTCCAATGTCCGTATAGATTGCCAGCTGCGCATTGCAAGCTGCCTGCAGGTCTCTAGAGGAGTGTTTGCATTCCCAGCACCACTTTCATGGTCTTACACTGCTTCTGATTAAGAGCTGCTGCCTCCATTTGTGAGAAGTCAGAAGTCACACAGCCCCTGGGAAACAGGGAGCTGAACAGTTGGAGCAGTGCACGCAACGCCCAGCGACATGGCAAGCCTGGAGCAGCCTGGGACTGGTGGAGGTTCCCAGGGGGAATGCGAGGCGGGAGGCCCTGCAGCGGAGCATGTCTGGGGGAAAACTGGTGCTGGCTGGAGAAGCTGTGTGGGGCGATCCCCATCTGTGCGCCAGTGCTCTGTTAAACAGTACAGCACATCATCCCTTCCGCAGACAGTTTGGTAAGGGGAAGCGGCAGCTAACGAAAGTGAAAGTGGAAGGCAGGAGTCCAGGCATTTCCCTGCTAGCCTCGTCCCGGGCCTCCTCTCTCTGCTTGGCACATCTTTGCTGTGAGCTGTGCTGGCATTGCCCTCCAGAGAATCCCAGGACTCGCTTTTCTTTTAGCCTTACCTGCTGTGCTGCTGGCCCGGGGGAAGGGTGATATGGCTGTTGCTGGTAGCCCCCTGAGCTCCGTTGCCCCCCGCCGTGGCCCTCCAGTGGCAGTCAGCAGCGAGGGGCAGGGTGACCCCTGCCAGATCAACGACACAGAAGGCCTCACCGTTCCTGTTGCGTTCACCTGATCGTCCTTCCTGTGCTTGAACCTGCAGGGGAAGGTTATAGAGGGCAATGATGTGTCCGGCGCGCTCTGCATTGCCCAGCCGTGGCCTGGCATGGCAAGGACGATCTATGGAGATCACCAGCGGTTTGTTGACGCCTATTTCAAAGCCTACCCAGGTGAGGAAAGTGCTGAGCGAGGCAGTCTGCACTGCAGTATAAGCACGCTGAACGTTTTCTGCAGCACTTTGGGATATTTCTATACCAGCCAGATTTTGGTTCCTTGGGGCTGTGTGTCATGTGTTGCAAGCATGCACTGAAGGTCTTAGATAGTGTTGACCTTTCTCGCTGTCCAAAGGGAGTGTATTTTTTAGAAAATCTTAATGCCCAAATTTTAAAGTCCAAATACCTTTTCTTTGGGGCCATTTGTATCTCCCTTGGAAACAGGCATATTGAATGGGAAAGCACCTCCTACATCACCGAATGTCACCCCTGCTGTCACATGCTGTGCTACATCCTTCCTTTTTAAAACACAATCATGTTGTATCTGGCAAGTAATTAGAAGCGGCGGGGAAACATTTTTTTGTAGGAGATTGGACAAGACCACTGTCTTCACTCAAGGGAGCAACTGAAAGGGATTTGCAAGCTACAGGGTAGGCAAGAATTAGAGAGAGAATCCTGCAAATTGTACCACTTGGGTTCGAAAGTAAGAATGGGAAACTGGTAGGGAAAAATGCAATGAGCCCACAGTCCCTTATTACTCACTGCATGTTTGCGTCTGAAATCTTCTTGCTATTTAGTTGATAGCTGTTTAATTGATTTGGAAGGGCAGGAGGCATGACTGAAAGTCCATGTATTGGCCAATAATGGGTCCTGGCAAGAACCACCTTCAGATTTCACCGAGCTGGCTGCCTGCTGCTGCTCAGAGGTGCCACAGGAGCAATTCACACGTGGACACGGCTTTGGTGAAGAGCTAGCTTCAAGAGCCAACAGTGTCCTCAATGGCACTAGAGTTTCCTGGAACCACTGGGCCTTTTTCAGTTTCCATCAAATGTTTTGGGCCCTCCAAACGCCATGCTTATCGCAGGGGCTTTTTTTGAAGCCAGTGCGATCGCAGCGTTTCTGCTGCGCTCACATACTGGAGAGGGACTGTTACCTGGGATCTGAATCCTGTTAGCCAGGAGGGAACATGGCTTTTCATCCATCCCAGTGTAAGTGATTAAAAAAACTTGGCAGTGTTCCCACGTACAAAACGCAATAGAACGGCTCCCTTTCAGCTGAGCAGCTGCGGTCTGCCATGAGCGCTGAGGTGTAGCTGGCAGCAGACCTGAATGTGACCAGCAGCCTACGGCAGGATGGCACAAGGCGTTTGAAGTGGTTCCACCTTCGTGCTGAACGCACGCCGTCGCTGTGCAGCTGCAGGCACGTATAGCCCAGGGGGATCAGAGAGGGCCCCCCCCCCCCCCCCCCCCCCCCCCGGGTTTTGTGAACCCAACCGAGCGTCGCTGTGTTGTGCTGCTGAGCTTGGGTTTACTGCAGGGGCGTCTGCCACTGCTTGCTGCTGGTTGCCTACAGAATTTTGCCCGCCGCGGCAGAGGTCTGAGCTCTGCTGTCTCGGTGCCGCTCAGGTGCCTCCTAGGAGCCAGCACAGCCCCGGGCCGGGCAGGTGAAGGTTGGGGATGGCAGAGGGAGGTGGGAAGCGGTGTGTGGCAGGTCGTGCAGCTGTGAGCTTCTGAGGCTCTGCGAGCTGCCTGGTCCACCCCACCCTACTTGCCATCCTCGAGCGGAGTCTGTTCTGCGTCAGAGCCTGAAGCGATAGGCCGGCACGGTTCCTGCTGCTGAGCACCCACACGTCTTTCCTGCAGGTTACTACTTCACGGGGGATGGTGCTTACAGGACCAAGAAAGGCTATTACCAGATAACGGGGCGCATGGACGATGTCATTAACATCAGCGGGCACAGGCTGGGCACAGCAGAGATAGAAGATGCAATGGTAAGTTGCAGGCAGGTAGAGCTCCCTTGACAGGGCGTATCTGCGGGGCAGGGGGGCCCTCTCAAAGGAGTTGTATGAATTTGAACGAGTTCAGGGTCTCTTGCCTTCACACCCCTGCCCCTGCCTTCACACGGCTTGATGCGGGAGGGATAGCAGATGTGCCAAGGGAAGCAGCGCCCTCATTAAGCAGACAACAAACGGGCAAATGAGAGGAGAGTCACGCTGGGGGCAGCCCCTGCAGTCAAACTGTCAGAGCTCTGTTTCCTCTCAGTGACATTGTGCTGTTGCAGTTGTAATTTTGGATGCTGGTGGAGTCTCCATAAGGGATTGTCCCTCCTGTTTGTCCCTTTCCCTGCGCTAACACCTAACCTCTCCTTCAAATCTCTGGTTCTTGCTCATCCGAACTAGCAGAGTATGCCTGAGAAATTCAGCAGCGTTACATATGAAGCAACCTGGATTCGTGTCAGCTGCAAAGCCAGCCTGTCATTTTGAGAGAAAATAATACTGGCTCAGGGAACTGAAAACAAAAAGTTCTCAGAGCATTTATCTTCAAAGCTTGACCCGAATATTTATTACTATAATCGTGCCCTGCCTGAAAATGGCACTCAAACGTAACATTTGGTAAACCTGAGCTGTGTTTGCATGGCACACAGGATACTACTTCATCCTCCACAAGTACTTTTTTTGTCTGTCTGGGTTTCTGATCGTCGATACAGGATCCAGTTCCCCTTCCACTCTATGTATGTGTATATGCAAATATATTTATGTGCTTAGATTGCTCTGTGATGCGTTCTTTCATATTTTAATCTCATTTAAGATAGCATAATCCAGTCTTTGGTATGGGATTCGGATATGCAATTTCTTCTGGTCTACACACCCAAATTGTCATCTTACTGCAGAAGAATGTTAAATTAAACTCTGAAGTGTGACAGAATAAGTCACTGTTGTGTAGCATAATAATAAACATACGCATTTGGCAAAACAGCCCTTGCCCCCTTCTGGGGAAATGAGGAAGCCTGATTCTTTCTGCCTTCTGGTGTGCTTTGGGCACTTATAAACGCCAGTCAGATGTGGCCTGTGATGGTGGCAACTTTGCTTTTGCTCTGCTGGCAGCAGTTCCCTGTGGCAGAGAGCAATGCAGGACTGATTTTGCTCGTGATTTGGCTACGGCCAGTCACCACTTGGGACTGTAGCCATGCACCCACAAGAGCGCAGGCAAAGAAAGAGAAAGCAGGTTTCCAGCTGCTGCAAATTCGGCTTGGTGTGCGCAGTGAGCTTGGCAGTATATGTAAGAGTATTTCTTTGTGTGTTTAAAAGCAGGGCCAGTCCAGGGAGTAAATGCTACTCGCAGAGACATGGCCGTGGCCACCAGCTGGCCGTGCGGTAGGAAGGTGCCATCCGGCCTCCTGCTGTGCTTTCAGCAGGATCTGCCAAGGGGCGGGCGTTCTGTTCCTAGAGCAACCGGCACAGACTCTGCAGGGCTTGAAGCAGTTGTTACGCTCTGTGTGGTTTTTGTTTCCCTTTTTGTGAAGGCCGATCACCCCGAGGTCCCCGAGACAGCCGTGATTGGGTATCCACACAAGATCAAAGGAGAAGGTATGTGAAAAGCAGTGTCCTGACATGACACCGACGTACACTTCCCTTAATTTCTAGCCTGGGCTGCGTGTTTGGAGGTGCTGAGGGAATGGGAGGGCAGTTGTTCTCAGGTTGACTGGCGTTGCAGCCCCAAGAGGCAGACAGCCATCAAAATAACTGTGTGTTCTTAAGATGGGTGCGGGTATTACTCCCTAAACTGTTTTTTATGTGCTAGAGGTTCCTTTAAAAGGATCGTGCTCAGAGACGTCCTTCGAACAGAATGGGAATAGCTGACTCGTGTCGGTCAGTTTTTGATCCCCGTGACACTTTGGTAATTCGAGTTGTCATTGTCACTGAGATCAGTCTGGTCCATAGATGCCAAGACAAGGCTGGGCCATCACTTGGGGGCTGGAGTCTGACACTCCCTTTTTGTAAACAGGATCAGTGGTTTTCTTGGCAGTCCCTAGATTGCACGTCGGAATGATTTGAAGCCTGCCTGGGCATTCGAGTGAGCACCCCAGGTCTTGCCAGCCAGGCTCTAATATGTGGCTTCCGCTCATTTGTCTTCCAGGTGCCTTTGCTTTCATAGTAGTAAAGGAGCAGACAGCTCATATAGACCGTGTCAAAGAAGAGCTCAAAACCATTGTGGCTTCCAAGATAGCAAAATACGCTGTGCCCGACCACATTCTGGTAAGTGGGAGACTGTAACTGGTACCAGGAGCAGGAGTGGTCACATTCAGCACGTGTCACCTTCCTGCCTGCAGTGCTGACATCTGGCAAGATGAAGCAGCAGGAAACCAGAACTAGCTGGAGGGATCCCTGGGCTGGGGAGGGCAGGTGCAGTGACCCAGAGCGGGGCTGGGATATTGCAGCTGCTCCAGCCTGTGGAACAGCTCCTCAGTGGGGCTGTTACAGAGTGTTGTAGAGCCACCCCGAGGCTGCTCCAGTTGGGCCAAGCACCGAACAACCCTTGAAGGGTATGCACAGAGAGTGTCCAGAGCAACGTGCTTGCCCAGAGTTCTGGCAGAGGGGCACCCCAGGCCCCTCAAGATGCACTTGATGTCCCTGTCACCATGCAGCAGCATTACTGCTCGCTGCAGCTCTTGCCCTCAGCTAAGCCCTTGCTGAGGCAATGTAGCACTGCTGTCTGTGTTGATAATTAGCAGCAAGCCCAGATTTCAGAGCCCTGGCTGTTTCTCTTGCGTGACTGTACAGCTGTGCAGCCTGACCCTGGGAGCACTGATGAACTCCAGGCTCTGTCTCAAGGCTCCTTGCCTTTCAGCATCTCCCTTTGTGTCTTTGGGGAGAGTGCACAAAGCTGTCCCTTAGGTGCCCCCCAAGGCCCACCTGCATCCACCCCAATCTCTGCTCGGGGGCTGTGACCAGAGCACTTCATTGAGGGGCTCTGCTTTAGCCACATGCTTGGAAGGTGGATCCCCAGACACCAGTTACAGAATACAACAGGAACAGGCAAGGATGGCTCATTCAACTTGGAACAGCCCAGGACCTCCTCCGTGGATCGGAGCAGCTTCCAGAACTTGCAGGTTTGCAAGGAAATGCCTCTGTTGCCCTGTTTTTGGGGGGCAGTCCTGCAGAGAGACCCATCTGCTGTTTCTGTGCATGTTAGTTAATGCTTTGGAGTTTTGTTGCCTACTGGCCTGATCACATAGCAAAATGTGAGACCTGTTAGCGCCTCTGTTCAGTGCCCGAGAACTCTCTACCAGGCTCAAGTTTATGCTAAAGCCTTTAAAACGGCTGCTAAGTCCTTTGCAGGAAGCATAGCCAAGACATTTAACATTCTTCTGGTTATGAAGGAAGGCATGTAGGCTGACAGGTGTAATCAGGAGGAGGGAAACATCAGCCGACAGCAGTTATCCCTTGAGTGGGAGACCCTGTAGCCGGTGTGCAGTATTGTGTGCTTTATATTCCTGCCCTGCAAAGGGGGATGTGTCTGTTCCGGTAACGCGTTGAGATCCTTGTCATCATCAGTGTAACCAGCTTTCTATTTCAATAGTGAACAGCTTATTCAGGACCCGATTCTCCAAAGAGTTGTGTGTCCTGCAGCACCCAGCCTGGAGGTGCACAGCAGTGAGCAAATGGGGAACAAAGTCTACTTAAATAAGAGTAAAATCTAAAGCACAAGGAGTTGATGCTAGTGACGCTCCTTTCCTCGGACATAACCTAGTGTGCTCCAATGGCCTGGTGTTTTCCAGGAGCCTCAGAGAAGCTGTGGCCGTGAGACAGTGTTCCAGGCTTAGGACAGTTCAGCCAAATTTCCTTGTGGTTTCCAGCAGGGCCCAGGTTCCACTAGAGGTGTGTCTTTCCCTTCTCTGCAGGTGGTAAAACGTCTTCCTAAAACCCGATCAGGGAAGATCATGAGGAGGCTGCTGAGGAAAGTAGTCACTGAACAATCAGGCAACATGGGAGATGTCACCACACTTGATGATCCAAATGTTGTCAAGGAGATACTGGATGCTTACCAGAAGTACAAGGAGAAGAGCTCCTCATAATAGGCAGCTCTGGGATCTCTCACCTCTGGAAATACGGCAGGTCTCAAATGACCAGGCAAACAAGATGGTTCTCTCTTGGTGTTTTTTCAAAAACTGTGTTCCTTTCTAGGGGAACAAGATTTTCCGCTCCACAGTGTGTTCTGAGATGCACAGAGCTAGGAGCAATCTGCAGTTTTGCAGTCAGTGAGCTCCCTTCCATTGCCTTTAGTGCTGTTGCAGAGCAGCCATTGCTGGTTTCCATTAGCTGTGATGAAGTTTAATATTAGCTGAGGCGAGATGGAGATGTTACTGTTTTCTGATTTTAATGTTTTTATACATGGGGAAATGTTTTTATACAATACTTTTGCTGTTTTAAAAGAAGCCCTGGAATACACTTCTTCAATTTTTCCTTCAGCTTGGCTATCTGAGCTCAAGTAGCTGTATTTCACCTCAACTGTGGTGCCTTTTCAGCAATGCTGAGTATTCTCGATGCTTCACGTGTGCTGTTAGGGAGGTGAGGAGGACACGGCTAGTCTGGTAATTCTTTCTCGTGTTTACCCAGTTGTTTTAACACCTCCTTCAGCTTTCCTCACAAGGATTTGTTCCTACCACTATACGTCCTGGGGCTCGCCAGAGATGGTGAGTCTGCGTCCCTTCGTGTCCCACCTAGGCAACCCAGCATTAGCACTTAGAGCTGCAAAACTGAGCCACAAAGCCTGCCCCTGCCCTTCCTCCATGTCCTCGGTGCATCGCGTAGGAGGGGTCTGGTCCCACATTCTGCCTTGAGAAACTGAGGTCACCAACTGGGCTTTTGAGGTAACGGTCCTCTTCCTCCTCGGTGGTGACAGCTGGGTCTGTGTTGTCCGTTGTGGTTCACTTCTGCATGTTAGCAGTGGTGGCCTCCAACTGGTGGATCTTCGTTGCCAGCTGGTGCTTTGTGCCTTTGCTTCCTGAAGCTGCTGTGCAAAGTGACGATGTTTGCTTGCTGTCTGTCAGAGAAGCCTTGGGAAACAAAATCCCGAAGTGCTCAAGAGAGGTTTGAAGCTGAGAGAGGTGTGCTGGAGGGTTCGTTGTGACTTGCCGGGCTGTGTGTTTTCTGAGGAATGGTTATTTTAGCCCACCCCCAGATGGCTTGTAAACCTCGTTTGTTCCAACAAAGACAGGCACCCAGTTTGGAGGTAGGTTGGTTCTCCCTGTCGAAGTTGTGACTTAACGCTTATCAAGTTGGGCCCTGCCATGTCTGCCCCTTCCACGCGCTGTCGTGCTGGTCTTCCAAAGACTTAAGTGCCAGGTGGGTACCTGCAAATTGCAGAGTTCACCAGGAGGGAGGAAGTGCCTCTTAGACGCCTTCTGGAAAGGGATTTCAGACCAGCCATCTCCGAGTAGCAGGGAACAATAGCCTTTCTCTTTTGTATGCTTTCAAAATTGCAACTAGTATAGTCAGTGTTTTATTTCCGGGCTCGTTTTATTCTGAACACGTTTTGATTGAAGCACTCCTTATATTTGGGCTGTTCAGAAGAATTTGTTAGTAGGTCTCCTGTCCACTACTGTGCCACTGAAGGTCATGGAAAAGCCCGTAGGTGCCAAATGCCTTTGAGGCTCCTGCCACTGCTGAATTTGGTTTATGCTGGCCGAGGTGTTCAGAGTGGTTGGAGGGGCCACGGAGCACGCCAGGAAAGCGTGGCAGGGGACTCCTCTCCTCTCCCTGGGTGCAAAAGCTGAAGGTACACACTAGTGTAGCGTGTAGAGCGCTGGGAGCGTGCGCCACAAGGGCTCAGGCAGAGCTTCTCCATCTTAACCTGCCGAAGCCAAGTGGCTGCTACCCACCCGTGTGCTGCTGTGGCTGCAGTCACTCCACCACGCTTCGCAGCCCTGCCTCTGTCTTGCTCAGATGACAGGCTGCTTAGTTTCACGGAGCTGCGTCTTTCGGCCTGCCGAACCCCCGAGTCACAGGCAGAGTCGCCAGGTTTTGCCCCAGTGTCACAGGGGTGACTTACTGATGAATTTAACTGGAGCAGCACTGCCTTTTCCAGTGGAACTGTGTACTGGAAAGACAATCTGTCCACCTAACTGGAGGCAGGGATGGCAGGAAGGGAATGGCTAGGTGATCCTGGAGGACTGGGGGAGGAGGGGTGACTTTTTTGGCCAGCAGAAATTTTGGTACCAAGTGGGGAAGCAGGCTGCTCACAGTACGATGTGCTCTCAAAGACAGGTGTGTTGTCTTAGGTCCCAGAGCTCCTCTGAGTACGCCAGCTGTATTTGCTGGTTTGGTTGGTTGGGTTTTTGTGTTTGGTTTTTTTTTTTGGTTTGTTTTTTTTTTTTTTTTTTTAATGTCTTTGGGGACTGGGTAATACAGTAGGGAATATTGTGCTTCGTTAAAATTTCCATCCTTCTGACTGCAGTCCATTTTTGCTTAGGGTAAGTAGACAGCCTATGGACTTTGTGGGAAGTTGAAGATCAGAATGTTTGATAGAGTTCACAGGATGTTAATATTTTAGGAGGCAGCCACTACATATATCCTTTAATGCCATTGCAAAAGAAAAAAAACTTGCTTAAGTGATTTTTCAACTGAGAAGCAGCCAGGAGTTAGTGGTGCTTTTTACAGAAAAAGTAGACTCCCTTGTTTAAACAAGTCGCCTCTGTGCAATCTGAAATACAGTGTGGAGAAAGAAAAATTTACTTTTGAACAAGATTACACACTTTCTTTTTAGTCAAGAAAGCACTTCCTATACTATGGATATAGAATATCCATGTCCTGTTGACCTGAAATTTCCATGCTAAGGTGTGACTGAGTGGTCGTAGGTGCATGGTCTAATTCAGATGAGCTGCCTCGTGAAGGCTAGCTGTGTGAGGGGCATCGTGGCATTCATCACACAACTCCTCTGCTCAGGGAAAATGGGAGGTGGGTGCTCTCCTTCACCTGCAGCCCCGTCGGCTCGACTTGCACGGGCTTGGGGACCACGGCTGCCAGGGAGGTTGCAGACTGACCAGGCAGCTGCAGCACTCCAGTAAATTCACAGCCGTGCCAGCTGTGGTGTGGACGGACTGTAATTACAAGCCAGCCTCATACTGTGAACTTCTTAAGCCTTACAAGCACCTTTGCTGAGATTATGGCACCAGCACATGCAAGCTTAGAGAGCGGCGTGTCTGCCGTCCAGTACCATGATGCCTGCTCTCGTTCCTCCTTGCGCAGTCCTGCAGCTGTGGCCCCTGGGGTGTCCCTCTGCTCAGAGGTCCCCGCCGGGTACTCCAAGAGAGACTGTGGTGCTGTCGTGCTGCCCACGTCATGTTCTGGGGCGGACACAGCGTCTGCTGGGCAGCCTCAGCCTCCATCTCTGCTGGTAGACCTGCACTTTGCAAGCACACCGGCATCAGCTCTGGGAGCCAAACGCCGTGCTCAGTTCATCTAATAGCACCCTGACGCTGGTGGAAACGGCTAGGCAGGCCTTGGAACTGGCACTTCTTCCAAAAGGAAGAATATCGTGCTTCACTGGGTAGGCTACTCTTAGAAATCTCTGAGCAGATGAAATTTTCCAGCCGGCCAAGTGCCCCCATGATCTCCGCCAACTTCAGCGGTTGCATCTTCAGTGCAAGCCCGAGTCGAGCTTTGCATTTGTGGCATTCCCTGGTGGCAACAGTGCTCTCTGCTTTGCATGCAGTAGTCTCACGCCCCAGCAGGCTGCTTGCTCAGGAAAGGGTTCAGTCTGCAGAACTGGAAGGAGGTAGCTTGCGAAAGCCTCCAGTCTTAAGAGCTGATCTTCACTAATCGGGGAAGGAGGTAATGGTAGATGGAATACTTTACGCTGGGATCGTGGGACAAACTTGGGGGTAATTGCTTCGTTCAGGAAAGCAGAACTTTTGAATTCTTCTAAACCTTTGTGTGTCCGTGAGTCACATGTGTGTTATTTTCCAGATTGCCTTTGTAGCTTCATTAAAAGAGATCCAGAGTCGATTTTGCCTGTTGCAGTTTGTTGCAAAGGGCAAATGTGCTTGCTTTCCCCACTCCCCACTCGGTTTTGCCGGTGAGACCTGGTCATGGTGCCTTTTCCTCTGCTGGAGACACACACCATGATTTTCTGAATTTTAGAAAGGGAAATTCCATCTTTCTAGAGATGAGGTGTGTGTTGTACAGTCTGATGTTAAGCCTTTAATTTCATTTTGTTTTCTTTTAATCATGCTTTAAACACATTTATTGTACTTAACCAAAACCAGTTTCTTCAATGATCTCTGTATTCATATTTTCATTAAAGGAAATATCTTTCTTTGTGTGATGGGATGCCTTTGCATCATACACGTCTGGCCCTCCATCCCCTAAAGGGTCAGGGACTTCCTCAGTTCTTTGGACTTGCTTCTGCCTGTCCTGACCATTTTAGTCTGCCAGCGCAGACCAAAGAAAGGTGAAGGAGTTTGAGATGAGTCATCTTGTGGTCCAAATTGCTGGTTTGCTTTGTTGCTTTTCTCTAAATAGTAGCTCACAGGGAATGAATTACCATCAGAAAACTGCCACTGCAAAACAACTCAAAAGGTTGAAAAACAATCATTTGCATGTCAGTAAACTGCATGTCCTGAGGTCCCACTCTATGATAGTTTTCCTGTGTGATGCAAACTGAGAACAATTAGTGGCAACAATTAGTTACCGTTAGTTAATAGGGATGGTTCAGCTACTAATCTTGTTTTGTGCACAGCATGCACAAGTAGAAAAGGAGTGAAAATGGGATGTGTGTGGGGAACATGAGAGACGGCACTGTGTAGAGCGTGAGTGTGTAGCTGTCCCGGAGCTGAGCAGAGGAGAAGAAATTTGTTTCCAGGTGCCACGGATCGGCTGCCAGTGCTGGGAACACACCTTTTGGGGTGGAAATAGTCACCGCTATGCAAAATTACCAGCCTACAAACGTTGGTACCGAACCACCTGCCACAGCAGCTTTTCCACTCTTGCTTCTCTTCTGTAGCTGGTGTGTGTCTGCCTGGGCTCCCTCTGTCTGCAGTGGCATTTACTTTGGCTTTTTGGCCTCTTAAAGCTGGGAGAGTGGAAACCCAGCGCTCTCGAGTCCTCACCCTGCACCTGGCACACAGAAGACTCAATTAAATTTATTTTTCTACCTACTGGACCTTGTGGATGCCATTTTACTCCTCTGCCTCAGCCACCCGCGCCCCCGGGAGCAACGGTAGCCTCATGGCAGAGCTGGGAGGAGAGGTTGGAGAGCACTGACTGACGTGCGGAAAACAGACTCCACAATCTGATAGATTGTAAAGTAGGTATGTTTATTCAGCGCTGGGCACACAGGGGATCGCTCCTCCGAATGTGTGTGCTACCATGTGGCACCGTTGCCTTAGATTTATAGAGCAAATGATTACATATTCATAATATTTCGCAATACGCCTATACATATGCATCACCTATCCCCGCTTCGTATTAAAATTAGCATTTCCATGATCTCCTCCCAGTTGAGTCTGCGCAGTGAGTTCCTTTGGTCCTGGGCAGGGGTCGTGAAGGGCTGGGCGGTGGTCGTGGGAGGAAGTATCTCCTCTTCCTCAGTGCTGAACTTTTCACCCCGAATTCCTGCGCAGTCTCTGTCACCCCCTGGACCCGCAGAGCAGGTTTGTGCCGGTTGTGGGGTAATCTTCACTTACTCAGGGGTGGAGGAGGCTTTTTACTTAAACAGGAGATAGTGGTCGAGCAACACAAACATCTTCACTTACTCAGGTGTGGAGGAGGCTTTTTACTTAAACAGGAGATAGTGGTCGAGCAACACAAACACCTCGTACAAGCTAGGCAAACTCTTATCTCGACTATTTCCCTCCTCATCCCCTTCTTGCTATTCCCACATTAACCCTTACATCCCCTGTCCCTATCTAGGCCCTGTATCATGACCACAAAGTTCTGGGGCGAGGTGGTTGTTCAGGAAAGCCGGGCCCTTCGGGGAGCAGTGCTGCTAAGCTCCTTTGCCTGAATTTAACCTGAACAGAGAGAAAAGCCCCGCTCTGTGGAAAACCCACGCGTTTCGTTAGTAGGTGTGATGCCAAACAGCCTTTCCCGTTGCAGCCCTTGTCTGTGGAGCTGGACTTGGCTGAACGTTGGGTTTTTGTTTTGCAGTGTTAACAAAGCTGTGGGTCAGACTTTGGTGCCGGCACCCACAGCCCTTCCCCTGACGCTGCTGCTCCTGAGCAAAGCTCACGTGCCGGAAAAAAAACCTCAGCAGAGTGCGTCACCCAAAAGATGAATAGAGGAGCGAAGGTGATGTTCTGGGGGCTGACGAGGGGTGTGGGGGGGAGCTGCTGGTGTCGTTATTACCTGAAAAGTGGATTCGTGCCCGGCGTGCGATAAGCCAACCTTAACACGCTTGGGAGAAGTACTGTGTTTTATTCAGGTGCTCGTTGGATTTTCCACAAATCAAGCACCCCAAAGGGCAGGCCCAGTGGCCAAAGGGCACCCAAAGGTGCTTCTTTTATGCACAAAAATCACAGGTTCGTACTCTTCCAAAACCTATTAGATGCTGATCGGTCAGTGATTGCTACACGGTTATAATACAGATTACACAACGCTTTTATCACTAGGCGTGATGAGGGGAAGGGTCTTTAGGGTGAGCAGGGGTCGTTCTGACCCGGGGGCGTGTTTTTGAGGATTATAACGAAGTTAGTTCTCTTTAGGGCAGCCCCCCCCCCCCACCCAGCCCCGGCTCCGGACCCACGGGAGACCATTTCGCCCGCCTCGCCCTTCCCTCCCTCCCGGCTTCTTGGTGCCATTTTGCACCGGCCCTGCCCACGGGAGCCCCCCGACCGCCTCAGGAGGCGCCGGTGGAGCCCGCCGGGATGCCGGCGGCGGCGGGGACCGACCGAGCGGGGCCCGGGGCCGGGGCCGCCGTTCCGCTCCCTCACGCCCGCCGCGGCGCTTCCCGCCCAAGGGGAGAGCGGGGGCGTGGCCTGCGGCCCGGGACACAGCCTGGGGAGGCGTGGCTAGGGCCGTGGGGGCGCGGCCTGGGGTGGGCAGAGTCCGGGGATGGGGGCGTGGCCAGAGGCGATGGAGGCGTGGCCCGGGGCAGGTGGGAACGCGATCTGTTCCTCTGGGGGCGTGGCCTGATGCGACGGAGGCGTGGCCTGGGGCGAGTTGGGCGCGTGATCTGTTGCTATTGGGGGAGCGTGGGGTGTGGCATCGGGGGCGTGGCCTGGTGCCGGTCGGGCGCATGATCTGTTGTTATTGGGGGGGCGTGGCGCGGGGGTGGGGCGTGGCGCGTGGGCGTGGCCGGGGGAGTGGCTGCGCGCGGCCGCGCCGGCGCCCGGTGGCGGCGGCGGGATGGAGGAGGCGGAGGGGCTGCGGCAGCGCCGGGCCGCCCGCCCGCGGGTGCTCACCGAGGACAGCCCGGCGCAGGCGGCCGAGGAGGGCAGGTGGGGCCCGCCGCGGGGCCCCCGGGGGCGGGGAGGGCGGGAGGGAGGGCCCTGCCGTGCCCGCGGGGCGTGGGGCGTGGGGCGGGCCTAGCCCCGGCCTGAGGGGGACGTTGGGCCTGAGCCGGGCGAGGTTCGTCGTGGGTGTCCTGGGGGGCGAGGCCTCCCTGCCCCTCTCCCCCGTGGCAGCACGGGCTGGTGCGGGGGGGCCCCCGGGGGTGTCCCCCTCCCCGCACCCCCGGTCCCTGCTGGTTTGGAGGAGGGTTTGGGGCAGGGCCTGCGCGCCTGCTTCTGCCTGGGCGCGGGAAGAGCTTTTAACCAGAAAGCGGGGTTAATTTGTGGCTGGTTTTGTTGTTGGTTTGTTGGTTTGTTTGCTTTCCCAATGGGCCTGTTTAAGCACTGTTTATCTTCTGCTAGTCAAGTCATCCCATTGTGGCTCCCGCGGGTTTGTTATGGGCGTGATTAAGTGCTGTATAACGTGGCTAGTCTGTTTGTATCTGGCAATAGTTTAAAGAGCAATCTGCAGTTTAAAATCTAGTCCATACGTGTCTGAGGTAGGATAACCTTATAAACAGTGCATTTGTTCGTGGCTAAGTTAAAGAAGATTCCATTTACAATTTTCTGTTTAAGACTTTTATAAAAAAAACCCAAACAAACAACTGTATTGTAACTAAAGGCAATAGCTGCAATGAGAAAGTGATGGAATTTGCTTTGCCTTCCACTGAATAAAGTCATTGATGACTTGTAATGCTTAGGTTCACTATCGAGTGTGTCTCTTCTGATTTGAGCACCTTGCAGGTTCTTATCTGCCCTTCAGGGCAGACGGATTCATCCAGCAGAATGAAAGACTCTGTTTGGTGACTTGCACGTGTAGCCCCTGTTTTTGAAGGACGGCATCAGTATCTTTCAGCTTGAGAGACTGTTCCCCCTGGCTTCAGCCTCTCTTGGGAACTTTGCTCAAATCAGCTGAATTTCTAGGGCTCCAGCAATGACTCAGAGTCTCCACAGGTCCTGTTCTCATGAGACTGTCCTGCATGAAACCAACAGAAGAAATTCTGGCTGCCCTTTTTCTGGCTGGGAAGTGTGGCAGAAACCCTTGTTGCCAGTCGCTTTCCCCTCTGGCCCCCCAATAGTTCCTCTGCCAAGAGGAAGAGGCAGCCTGGGCTCCTGGCTGTGGTGACCCATAGCATCCTCTTGCCAGCCTACTGTCCTGTCTTCAGGAGCTGGGGCAGTGGCTTCTCTTTTTAGTTCCTGGTGACAACTAAATTGCTCTTGTTATAGCTGGAGCCCTGGTGAGTTGCATTATTGAGATTTGTGGCTGGAGTCCGTGTAGGGTTAATTATCGGAGACAAAACTAGCTAAGGATTTTTGTTTTGCTTCTCGGTGTTGATGAAACATCACTTCAGAGATTCTTTGCAGTGATCAGTCAGTGAAGTTGTTGGTATTCAATATTGGGTATGTTTTTGTTTTGGTTCCCTTTATAAGGATTCTGAGCAGCAGGCTTTTTAATTTTATTTTTCTTTAAGTTTTGGGGTTTTATTTAAATTCTTGTGGTTTCAGCAGTGTCTACAATAGGTCTTGCAGTTTGCAGGCTTGAAGTGTGAGCTTGCTTGTCATGTCATTCTTCATGCCATTTTCCGTTGTTGTCAATTCCTTGCAAGTTTGAATGACGATCAGAAATACGACCTTTACTTAAAGAATGCTTTCAGGAGCTTTAACTGAGTTGGCTTTGGCAGGTGAGCTCCCATTCATCTTTATCTGCTTCCTTTTGTGTGAGCTGTTCTCAGCTGTCACAAAGATGCTGACAGTACTTTTAGAGTATTGAGCCTTCATCTTTTGGAGGCCTGTGGAAGGACAAGGCTGACAGCTGAGGTCTTTGTGTAAACTTGGGGATCACGTCGTGTATCTACCACCCACTCCCCATTTCAAATCCAAGGGGAGACAGACTGGGAGGTGGTTGTTTCCTCGAGACATCTACTGTTAGACCAGGAAGCGCAGAATTCTTCTAATGAATTACAAGGGCAAGCTGGCTCTTAGGAAGTATGAAGAGGTCAGCGCAGGTGAGAAAGCCTGTTTGAAGCAGCTTCCCAGCCTGGCCCAGCTCAGACGGGGACAGACTCCGTGCTGTAACACTGCTGAAGTTCATGACGGGAATGCTGCGCTCTTGAGCGTGAGAAATAAAATCTCTTTTTTAGTATATCTGAGAGCAGGAATACTTGGGCATGCTGGTGGAAAGGAAGTAGGCTGGGGTGGCGAGTGCCCTGGGGGGGCTGGGGAAGGTTTGGTGGCCAGCAGCAGCAGTGCTAACGCCAGGTCTGGGAGCTGTCTGTGGCTTGGGGCTAGCAGCAGCGGCGGCGGCTCTTGGCTGTCAGCAGCCTGGTGAGCTGCACGGGGGGCTTGTGACAGCCCCGCTGGGTGCTCTGAGGAACTGGGGAGACTGGGGCAGGCCTCCAGCCTAACCCACTGCCAGAAGAGAGGGGCTGGCAGCAGCTGTGCCGGCGGGAAAGAGCCGTGAAGGATTGTGAACATTCCACCGTGCAAGCACTGACCGAAGGCAGGCCTGGCTCTGTTCCAGCTGATAATCCCCAAGGTTACCTTGGTGCTGATGTCCGTACTGCAAGCACATGTCCTCAGCTCCCCAGTTGTGATACTTGTGCTCTGGGCAGTCGTCCGTATGTCCTGCTGTCTGGGTGATTGGCTAACGAAGGACAAACCAGTGG